TTTTTTTTTGCTTATATTCACTGAATTGAGTCAATTCGAACACAGGTCTGGTCTGCATTTCAACAGTGTGATCGTGTACCAAGCTGTGCTAGGTCAGCCAGTCACCCCAACCAGTAGGCGGACAGTGCGGACAAAAAAAAAAAAAAAGAGCTTGGCCAGCTGGTAGAGTTGGTTACAAGATTGGTTCCCCTTGCACCCATACAAAAGCTGTAATTTTTCAATTTTCAACTTTGCAATTTGCACAAAAAGGAGTGCAAAAAAAAGAAAAAAACTGGAATGGGGGAGGATTATGAGGCCAAGCAGCGAGATCTTGTAAAAGAATCCAAAGCATTTTTTTTTATCACAACTAGACAAAGAAAATTCCAAAAATGTGATTGCAAATCAAGAACAACAAAATTTACGCATGTAGTGTAGGGCACACACGTAGTGTTAGGGCCTCCCTCCACTACAGAACATTGCATGCATTTGGACGCTTTCTGGACCAGGTGCATCTGGACAAGTCCAACATGTTTAATGAACCGGGCCAAGAAAGAGTCCAAATGCATGTCGACATTGTAGAGTGTTGTGCAGTGAAGCAAGGCCCTTACAATCGATGCAGTTCAGTGAACAAAACAACGAAAGCATTTCAGGAATACGAAAGCGTGAGCGATGAATCGTAGAGGACAGGAGTAAAACTGAGCGACAAATCCGGCAGAAAAAAAAGAGTCCAAAAACATCCTTCACACTTCACACTTCAAACCTAAACAATATTGAGAATTCATGTGCCGATTGGGGAGCATCCTGTATTTCAGCAGATAAAGATTTCAAACAGGATCCATTGGATCTGAAGAGGTCTTATTCCATAGGGTTTGCCGGTTGCCGGCTTTTTGTCGTTCTGTGGAAGAGCGGAAGCTCTTACGATCGCCTCGCCACTGAGTCTTCGACACTGTCACCGCGCGCCACTGAGTTTCAGTGATCACATGCTGGATGGGAAAGAAAGTTAAGAAACAGATGAGGGAGGAGGAGGAGGAGGAGGTGGAGGCTGGACAGGGTCGCGACAAAGATATAGGGCCACGCTCCACTACTCTCGAAATGTGCAAAACGAGAGTGATTCTTTTGCTAGAACATGGAAAGATGCACGGCCATGATTTTTGTCTTTTGTGCATGTTGAGAGTAGTGGAGCGAGGCCCATATTGTCACATATCTATGGAACTAAACTAGTGCACTTTTGCGAAACAAACAATAAAAAATTCATTAAAATTTTATTAAAAATACATAAAACTTCAAGAGTATAGAGAAGACAACGCAGACATGAAGAGCATAGATCTAATCCTTGTTATTCCTTCATTTACCGGTGGAGAAGCAAAAGAGAGAAAGCAAAAAAAAAAGGTTATACATGTCGATGAAGCACAGCAAAAAAAGTCCTAACACCTTTCTGTGTGACGGGCAGACAAGATTTATACATGTTGATGAACTGAGAAGATTTGCCTCCCGTCCTTCGGGGCATCTGTTAAAACCAGAATGATACAGAAAAGGAAAAAAAGCCCCCCCCCCCCCCAAAAAAAAAAAAAAAGAATGATACAGAAGAAGATGACCATGGGCAGACTCGCTCTCTGTATCAAAGCACTACTCTACCTGTCCAAAGACGGTATGCAGAACAGAAAAGAAAAAAAAGAAAAAAAGATGATACGCACTGCTATGCACATTATGAGAACTCGTTCTAACTTCTTCCATTTAAAAATAAAAAAAAATAAAAAGAAATCACCTGCGTTCTAGGCTACCAGAGTGGACCGGGACCACTTGCCCGGCCGGGCCAATAAAAAATAATAAAATATATATATATGTTTTTCTTCAATTTGGTAAAGAATTTCAATTTCACCCCGAGGCAAAAATTGTTTAGATTAATTTTATTTTTGTGCATAAGCAGCATAACATTGTTTTTTTGGGTATTAAAAAAAAAAAAAAACTATTTTTTAGTATTTTACTCTTTCTTAGATTTTTTTTTTATTTTTTTTTTGGCTGGGACGTTCCCTGCCACTTGCACGCCCGGGCCGCCCGGGAAAACAGGGTGACCCAGACCGCCCGGCCGGTAGCCTAGCCTGCTTCTGATTTCTATGTTAAACCAAAAAAAAAGGACAGTGGAGAAAGTTCGAGAAACTGAAAAACTTCGAACTATTTAGGTCACAAGCAATGCCTTTTCCGATGACTACATCACAAAACCAAAGCTTGGAAGATAGACTTCTTACCTCAGAAGCGGACAGACCTGACACGTCGTCCGTCAAGCCATCTGCACGAGAGACAAAAAAAAACAACGAAAATCCTCAACAAGTACTCCATAAAAAAAGAAGTTCATTCAAATCATCTGCATCAGCAGCCAGTACGCATTTTTCTCTGAAGCTGTGAACCAATTCCTGAACCTTAAAATTTAAAACAACAAGTGGACCCCGCCACGGCTATGCCATGGCACACAGCAACCCTCGCTGATGGCGTCTCATTTTTGTTTCATGTCTCTCTCTCTCTCTCTCTCTCTCTCTCTCTCTCTCTCTCTCTCTCTCTCTCTCTCTCTCTCT